TTTGGTAGATCTACCTGTTTTCCTGTTTCGCATTTGGCCACTTTTCCCTCCTTTTTTATGCATCTAACGGTGGTTTGTAGTGGCAACACCTGTTTTAGACTCTGTGGCGCATTATTTCATGTTCATAACTCAAACGCGTTCGATGGCGATGGCGATGGCTTCGTTAACGCATCGCAAAAGTCCAGTTATGCAATGTCTATTGAAAAATGAAACATACTCGTACACACGCAGAGAGTGGGCCTGTAGCTATCGATCCTTCTAATGCATTTGTCTTGCAATAAAAATGGAATGAACCTCTCGGTCTGAGTGCTAAAATTTATTTCCACTTGGCCAGCACCAAAAGACAACAAGAAGGCGCAAACACAGCAATACCCGTAAGTTGGATCGGCTGGTGTTTCTCGGTCCGATCCAGCTTAACCAGGCACGTTCACCAAAGGCGGCTGCTCCCTTTCGTTTCGCTAACTGGGGCAGATCATTAAAACGGATAAAATAGATTGTGCCCACGTAGCAACGCCGTCACAGTCTCAGCTCAGAGCAGCTCCCCAGTTCTTCAGGTTTTGGGGTTCGAGGCGGTAGCGTTGTCGGCGCTTAATGCCGGCTGTCCTCAAAAGCCCCGAACGGCACTGCCTCCATCTCCATTTGCGGCTCCAACTACAGCTCCATCTCCATCACCATCTCCTTGTCCCGCTTCCAAGCCGAAACCAAAGCCAAAAACCGACACCAACTTCAATCTGCCGACTTGGGCCGGGCGACGCACCAGTTGGAGATCAACGTCAGTTGATAAGCGTTGCCAGTTTTACGTTCCGTTTTTCTTAATACCCTTTAAGGTGGGTATTAGGATTTTAGGAAGAATGAAATTAATACTTTTGAGTAAAATAATTTATATCTTAAAGTCGGAGACTACAAAGGTAACTAAGGTGTGAGTGATGGATTGAAGTTGACTTAACTTAAAATTCTAATGCAACATATTAGGGCACAGATCCTATAATTTTCACTTTATTTTTAAAAATACATTCCATTGGTATGTTAAAATGACGATTACAAGGGTAACCGCACTTTTATACTTTAAAGTAAGCCGTGTCCTTGCCTGTTTTTATTTTTGGACAGAACACATACGCCACGATCCATTGCTGTGGCTCCTTATTTTAAATCTCTTTGTAGTGCAATTTTTTTGCCAGGTACTTTGCACTTTTTGCATATCAAAATGGCAGCAATTAATTCTCATGTCGAAGCTGGCGCTGATAAGGCATGAAAATGGCTTTAAGCGTCGGCATTAACACGCCTAATTATACGCGCGTGTGTTGCCACATTTACGCACAAATGAGGGGCGGCTCCGCCAAAGAAAGCCACCCATGGCTTTGGATTTTCTGATTTACCAGTGGCCCGGATCCGGATTCGCCTGACATCACTTGCGGGCCTGACCTTGATCTTAAAGCATACTACTTGGTCGCATGGCGCATAATTGCGTAACAAATTGTTAACTAATTTTTGGTTTTCTTTATTACTACCTATGTAGTTATGTTTATCTTTATTTTTTTGCTCGAGTTCAAGTTCAACTTTTAGCCGGACTTAGTTGTAGACACTTTTGGCTCTGGGTTAGTTTATTATTATTTATTCGAGCTGCTAATCATCATTGCCTGGCAGTGGAGCATGAAAGTCATGTCCGCTCGTAAATTTTATCTCTTCTATATGGCACGAATGTCATAATTCAAATTCAGCTTTAAAAGCAGCAACAAACAACAAATGCAACAAATGCAGCAAATGCTAATTAGTCCAACAATTACACAATTTATTAGATAGACGCCAACCAGACCAGACACGACTGCTCATATATAGATTAGGTTTTGCCTTTTGTGTTGATTTTTGCAATAGTCTGATTGATAATTAGTTTTAATTGGAGCAGAGCTGCACTTTGATTGGCTAACGAAAAGTTAATCATTATTTAAATTAACGCTGAATTATAGTTAATTTTCTTTCAGACAGGAAATATGAAATCCATCAGGCGAAACAGAAATTAAGTTCAAAGTTTCTTTCAAATCAAAAGCATAGAAAAAATGAGACATAGGAGGGTTCTAAACATTTCCCTTATTCTGCATTCGTGCGAGTGTGTGGTTTTAATGACCAGATCACCGCCTTTTAAAATGCCACATGGAACAAGTCTTATTCTGACGATTATGGTTAGCATTTATAGACGAACAGGAAACCCAAGAAGACGACCCTGCTTTAAGCAGCCAACGAGAATTATGTCAGCATCATTTTAGGCAATCATTCGGCTTAATCACATCGAGTCACGCATATTTGATTGCTTTTAAAGCGGTCAAATCCGATGGCTAGAACGCCTACTGAAAAAAAGAGGTTTGCCAAAATAGAAATACGATTTGCTAGAGAGTTGGAAAAATCTTAATCTGAGTGGAGCTAAGAATTAGATTTACACTTACCAGACTAGAGAGACTAGCAGTTAAACAGGCTGTGAGGAGATCATTCCTGGCAGGAGATGCAACGGGCGTGCTAAGTTCATTAGACAGCCTTTGGTCAATGGCCCGATGTGATCCAGGGATCCGCGATCCCTGGTCTGCTGTCGTCTTGCAGTCGGATTGCATAAAGTAATTAAACTGACATTGAAACTTAGAGGAACACAGAATGCTTCCTGCTTCTGAAAGTGTACTCTTGGGCTGCCATTTGGAAAAGACCATAAGACTGGCATGGGACCAAGTCGGAGTCGACGAGGATGATGACATTGAGTAATCAGAGTTTGCAATTGCAACAAACAACGCGGCAACGCCAAGCAAACATGGAATGCTGTCATATCAGTCGGTTGTTAAGAGCAAATACCAGTTTCGGTCCTGCCGCCGTCGAGTGATGATCCTCTTAATTTATAAACTAAAAACTAGTAATTATAACTGAACGGCCGACTCGTTCTGCTTGTAATTATAAGGCACTCACTCGCCCTTTTTGTTCCTCCTGTATCCCACTCTTGGATCCTTGTCTTTGGCTTTTGCCAACTTTTGTACTTATGTCATATTAGCTATAAATGTACAACTTTTGCCCGCTTGCCGACCCAATGATTAATGGGCCCAGATTGCGACGGACCGGCTGCCCATGCCCATGATACCGCCTGCCCTGCCCTCTTGTTCTGTTTCATCCTCCCAACCAGCCGAATTGCCGCTCCATTGGCTTCGACTCGACTGTCTGCGATATTGAATTCTCAATGCGCTGCGCGCTATTGGAGCAGAAAGCTCTGATCACCAGCTCATCCTAAGCCACTCTTCCGCCTGAGTTAAGCTTTGGATTTGGATATCCAGACCCAGAGAATGTAGCTGATCTGGTCTAAGCTGAAAGGTTAGATAGGTTGCCGACTACCGGCTTATGCAATTCGAGAATTCTTGTGAATGTATTAAAGCTAATGCCGATATGGTTACGTTTGGGGTTATGCTCTCTCTCTTCTAAAGATATACATGATTACAGTCTTAAGTCTAAATATGTGACTAATTAATTGCGCTTTTTAGCTAAAATATTGTTAAACTGACTTATCTACATTTTAAAAAACAAAATATTCGGTTATAAAGATACAGATGCTTAAAGAGCTATTATTCCCTCAGTTAGAGTATAAAAATTCCACAAAAAATGAATTAAATTTTCAGAAACTAAAGATGCATTATGCTTGGAATTCCGAAATGGAAATGGGCTGGACCATTAACATTGACCACACAGCCAATTGGTATGCAAAGCGTATGCAACTGGTGCATCCTGTGCTGTGACATTGCAACCAATGGCTGCCACGCCGCTGAAATGACACTGAAATGTCATGCGTAACATGCAAATCTCGGATGCAACCACATCCATTGGAGTTTCAACTCCAGCAGCGATTCCAACTACAAGTGCGGCTGCAAAGCGCATTCAAGCGGCAAAATGCGTAAAGGTCTAGAATGAGGTTGAGATTGGACTCTGTCTGACTGTCTGTGGGGGGTAAATACACTTGGAAATGTAAGAAAGTTACGAAATATATAACATTTTATAAACATAATAGACTTAGTTGATAACAAATGCTGAGTTTTTTTATCAGCAATTCATCATTTTAAAATCAAACCGATTCAAATGATCATAATGAGTTCTTTAAACCTGCTTTAATCTTCTTTAAGGAGTCAGGTTCATTTAGAACAGTGTATGCTCGGAGGTGGTTATAAATGTGCTTCGTTCGGATTTTAATTACTTGTCATTTGTTGCGTGGCACATTCGATTAATCAACGCTCCGCTCTCTTTTTTACTTCGCAGACATTGACGAATGCCAAGATCCCGCGATAGCAGCGCGATGCGTGGAGAACGCCGAGTGCTGTAACCTGCCGGCGCACTTCCTTTGCAAGTGCAAGGATGGATACGAAGGCGACGGCGAGGTTCAGTGCACGGATGTGGACGAGTGCCGCAATCCGGAAAACTGCGGCCCTAATGCACTGTGCATTAATACGCCGGGCAATTATACATGCTCTTGCCCGGAGGGCTTTGTGGGCAACAATCCGTATCGGGAGGGATGCCAGGATGTGGACGAGTGCTCGTACCCGAATGTCTGCGGACCCGGTGCCATATGTACGAATCTCGAGGGCAGTTATCGCTGCGACTGCCCGCCGGGATACGACGGAGATGGACGATCGGAGTCCGGATGCGTGGACCAAGACGAGTGTGCACGGAGGCCTTGCGGCCGGAACGCAGACTGTTTAAATACGGACGGTAGCTTCCGCTGCTTGTGTCCGGATGGATATAGCGGTGATCCTATGCACGGATGTGAGGGTAAGTAGTGTAACTATAAGGAATGCAAATTAGATTACTTCATTGTTCCATTTTGGTTATTTTATGCACTTTTGTTTTTTGAATTTGAATTGGCGGCACCTTCAACATATGAACAAACACCAACACTCACATTATTATTACTATAATCGTACATTAATGCACCGCAACATGCAACATTAATACAACAATTAATGCCTAACGCCGGCAGATGTCGATGAATGCGCCACTAACAATCCATGCGGTTTGGGTGCTGAATGCGTGAACTTGGGCGGTAGCTTTCAGTGCCGCTGTCCCTCCGGTTTTGTGCTGGAGCATGATCCGCATGCGGATCAGTTGCCCCAGCCCCAGAACACCCAACAATTGGGCTACGGGCCGGGGGCGACGGACGTGGTGCCCTACCAGAAGACCTCAGGCGCCGGTCTGGCCTGCCTGGACATCGATGAGTGCAATCAGCCGGACGGAGTGGCCAAGTGCGGCACCAATGCCAAGTGCATTAACTTCCCCGGCTCGTACCGCTGCCTGTGTCCCAGCGGATTCCAAGGACAGGGCTATTTGCACTGCGAGAGTTAGTATCCTGCCTGCTTTTTGCCTTTTGCCTGGCCTCTATAATCAGTGGGTTAAAAACTAAAATTTAAACAGCAAAATGGTTAAACATTAAAAAAAATATTCTAAACTTGATAAAAGAATTAGGGTCATATGAAACCTGATTATAGAGCCCTGGTATTTAAGTAGTAAACAAACTTGGACTATTCCTAAAATCCCTATGGGATTTTAGCCAACTTTGTGATTGCTTACTCCCCTGCTACCCACCACCTGCTATGTTATGCTACCCCACCACCTGTGCTAAGCTGTTTTTGCAAATATTAAGCTTGGCTTATTTGCTTCCCTAGCAGATGCATGCTTTTCAGACAGCTTCCTTTTGTTTTCCCGTAGTCCCATTTTCCTGAACTATTCTCTATAAGTCTTTATCTCCCACCCGATCCCGCTCCCCCACTTCACGCTATGCTCCCTCGCCTATCATCCGATTCCGTATTATTTTGCATACTAATTTAATTAATTATAAAATATTTAACTCACCCCAACCCGCAAATGAACACGCGTGCCCCTTCTCCAATCAAACATCACCCCTGCCCCTGCACCACCGGGAAATCGTGTAGACATCAACGAGTGTCAGGATAATCCGTGTGGGGAGAACGCGATCTGCACAGACACCGTTGGGAAGCTTCGTGTGCACGTGCAAACCCGACTATACCGGTGATCCGTTCCGCGGATGTGTGGATATCGATGAGTGTACCGCCTTGGATAAGCCATGTGGACAACATGCGGTATGCGAAAACACCGTTCCCGGTTACAATTGCAAGTGCCCGCAGGGATACGATGGAAAACCCGATCCCAAAGTGGCCTGCGAACAAGTTGATGTCAATATCCTGTGCAGCAGTAACTTCGATTGTACCAACAATGCGGAGTGTATCGAGAATCAATGCTTCTGCTTGGATGGTTTCGAACCCATTGGATCTAGTTGTGTGGACATCGATGAGTGTCGCACCCATGCGGAAGTGTGTGGTCCCCATGCCCAGTGCCTGAATACTCCCGGATCCTACGGCTGTGAATGCGAAGCGGGATATGTAGGAAGTCCACCACGGATGGCCTGCAAACAGCCGTGCGAGGATGTGCGGTGTGGTGCTCATGCCTACTGCAAACCGGATCAGAATGAAGCCTACTGTGTGTGCGAGGATGGATGGACCTATAACCCAAGCGATGTCGCTGCGGGATGTGTGGACATTGATGAGTGCGATGTTTTGCACGGACCCTTCGGAAGTTGTGGCCAGAATGCCACGTGTACGAACAATGCTGGAGGATTTACGTGCGCCTGCCCACCTGGTTATTCGGGAGATCCACATTCTAAGTGTGTCGATGTTGATGAGTGTAGGACTGGAGCTAACAAATGCGGAGCTGGAGCTGAGTGCGTGAATGTACCAGGTGGCGGGTATACCTGTCGCTGCCCTGAGAACACCATTGCTGATCCGGATCCCAGTGTGAGGTGTGTGCCTATTGTGAGCTGTTCTTCTAACGACGACTGTCCTGGCAATTCCATCTGTGATGCGACTAAGCGTTGTCTGTGCCCAGAACCGAATATTGGCAATGACTGCCGACATCCTTGCGAAGCACTCAATTGCGGTGCACATGCTCAGTGCATGTTGGCTAATGGACAGGCTCAGTGCTTGTGTGCTCCTGGATATACTGGTAACTCAGCTCTTCCTGGGGGATGTAACGATATTGATGAATGTCGGGCTAATCCCTGCGCAGAGAAGGCCATCTGTTCCAACACAGCTGGAGGCTATCTGTGTCAGTGTCCAGGAGGGTCAAGTGGAGATCCGTATCGCGAGGGATGCATTACTTCAAAGACGGTAGGTTGCTCCGACTCAAATCCTTGTGCGACAGGAGAGAGTTGCGTTCAGGACTCCTACACCGGCAACAGTGTATGCATTTGTCGTCAAGGCTATGAGCGTAATCCCGAGAATGGCCAATGCCAAGATGTTGACGAGTGCTCTGTCCAGAGAGGAAAACCCGCTTGTGGATTGAATGCTCTTTGTAAAAATTTGCCTGGAAGTTATGAGTGTCGCTGTCCACAGGGTCATAATGGAAATCCATTCATCATGTGCGAGATCTGTAATACGCCAGAGTGCCAGTGTCAGTCTCCGTACAAACTTGTTGGAAACAGTTGCGTTCTGTCAGGATGCTCCAGTGGGCAGGCCTGTCCCAGTGGAGCCGAGTGCATCTCGATAGCTGGAGGTGTCAGTTACTGCGCCTGCCCGAAGGGATACCAAACTCAACCGGATGGAAGCTGTGTCGATGTTGACGAATGCGAGGAACGTGGTGCTCATATGTGCGCCTTTGGAGCTCAGTGTGTGAACAAACCAGGAAGCTATAGTTGCCATTGCCCAGAAGGCTACCAAGGAGATCCCTACAATGGCCTATGTGCCCTGGCTCAAAGGAAATGCGCTGCCGATAAAGAATGCGCCAGTAACGAGAAGTGCATCCAGCCTGGAGAATGCGTTTGTCCACCTCCTTACTTCTTGGATCCCAATGACAACAATAAGTGCAAGAGTCCCTGCGAACGATTCCCGTGCGGCATCAATGCCAAGTGTACTCCCTCGGATCCACCCCAATGTATGTGCGAGGCTGGATTCAAGGGAGATCCCCTACTGGGTTGCACGGATGAAGACGAGTGCTCTCATCTACCTTGTGCCTATGGAGCTTACTGTGTGAACAAGAAGGGCGGATACCAATGCGTGTGCCCCAAGGACTTTACGGGAGATCCATATAAGAGTGGCTGCATATTTGAGAGTGGAACAACAAAGAGCAAGTGCCTCAGCAACGATGATTGCGCCAGTAATCTGGCCTGCTTGGAGGGAAGTTGCATCAGCCCCTGTAGCAGTCTCCTGTGTGGCTCCAATGCCTATTGTGAGACAGAGCAGCATGCTGGCTGGTGCCGCTGCCGAGTGGGATTTGTGAAGAATGGAGACGGAGACTGTGTGTCTCAGTGTCAAGACGTGATCTGTGGCGATGGAGCTCTTTGCATCCCAACCAGCGAAGGTCCTACCTGCAAGTGTCCACAAGGACAGCTTGGTAATCCCTTCCCCGGTGGCAGCTGCAGCACAGATCAGTGCTCAGCCGCTAGACCTTGCGGTGAGCGACAGATCTGCATCAATGGAAGGTGCAAGGAGCGCTGTGAGGGTGTGGTCTGCGGTATCGGTGCCACCTGCGATAGGAATAATGGAAAGTGCGTCTGCGAACCAAACTTTGTGGGAAATCCTGATTTAATCTGTATGCCGCCTATTGAGCAGGCCAAGTGCTTACCAGGATGTGGAGAGAACGCCCACTGCGAATATGGATTGGGTCAGAGCCGATGTGCCTGTAACCCCGGAACCTTTGGAAATCCCTATGAAGGCTGTGGAGCACAAAGCAAGAATGTTTGCCAGCCCAATAGCTGTGGACCCAATGCCGAGTGCCGTGCTGTGGGCAACCACATCTCCTGTCTTTGCCCTCAAGGCTTCAGTGGTAATCCCTATATTGGATGCCAGGATGTGGATGAGTGTGCCAATAAACCATGTGGTCTTAATGCTGCTTGTCTAAATAGAGCCGGAGGATTCGAGTGCCTTTGCCTCTCCGGTCATGCCGGAAATCCCTATAGTAGTTGTCAACCCATTGAGAGCAAGTTTTGTCAGGATGCCAACAAATGCCAGTGCAACGAGCGTGTGGAGTGCCCAGATGGTTACAGTTGCCAGAAGGGCCAGTGTAAGAACCTCTGCTCCCAGACATCGTGCGGCCCAAGGGCTATCTGCGATGCCGGAAAGTGCATCTGCCCTATGGGTTACATTGGAGATCCACATGACCAGAACCAGGGATGTAGTGTTCGCGGTCAATGTGGCAATGATGCGGACTGTCGAAACTCCGAAATCTGTTTCCAGTTGGGCAAAGGTTTGCGCAAGTGTGTGGATGCGTGCTCCAAGATTCAGTGTGGACCTAATGCCCTCTGTGTGGCCGAGGATCACCGATCTTCGTGTATTTGTTCCGATGGGTTCTTTGGCAACCCAAGCAACCTACAGGTGGGATGCCAACCAGAACGGATCGCCCCCAAGGAGGAAGATAAATGTAAATCAGATCGCGACTGTGAGCGAGGATATGGTTGTCAAGCCAGCGTTGATGGTTCCCGGGAGTGCATCAACCTGTGCTCGAATGTTGTCTGTGGACCCAATGAGCTGTGCAAGATTAACCCAGCTGGCCACGCAATATGCAACTGTGCCGAGAGTTATGTATGGAACCCAGTGGTCTCCTCTTGTGAAAAACCATCCCTGCCAGATTGCACCAGTGACGCTAATTGTCCTGATGCATCCGCCTGTCGCCCGGATGTCTTGGGTGTGCTTAAGTGCGTCGCAATTTGCGATGCCTTCACCTGCCCAGCCAATTCCGTTTGTGTTGCTCGCCAGCACCAGGGACGTTGTGATTGTCTCAATGGCTTTGTGGGCAACCCGAATGATAGGAATGGCTGCCAGCCAGCCCAGAAACATCACTGCAAAAACAACGCAGAGTGCCAGGAGTCGGAGGCCTGTATCAAGGATGAGACTACCCAGACTCTTGGATGTCGTCCAGCTTGTGATACCGTCAAGTGTGGACCCCGCGCCGTTTGCATTACCAACAACCATCAAGCGCAGTGTCAATGTCCACCTGGACCTTTTGCCGGAGATCCGTATGATCCATTCAACGGTTGCCAGAGTGTTCCTTGTGTCTATAACCATGACTGTCCACCTAGCCAGATGTGCAACCGGATGACCCACACCTGTTTCGATGTTTGCGACGAAGAGTCTTGCGGTGATAATGCCATTTGCTTGGCTGAGGATCATCGGGCCGTTTGCCAGTGCCCGCCTGGATTCAAGGGAGATCCGTTGCCAGAAGTGGCTTGTACCAAACAAGGTGGATGTGCTGCTGGAACCTGCCATCCTTCGGCCATTTGTGAAGTCACCCCAGAAGGACCTGTCTGCAAGTGTCCTCCACTCTTTGTAGGTGATCCCAAGTCGAGTGGCTGTCGTCCAGATGGTCAGTGCCCGAATGGCGATGCCGATTGCCCAGCCAACACAATCTGCGCTGGAGGAAGGTGCCAGAACCCTTGTGACAATGCCTGTGGATCGAATGCCGATTGTAAGGTGGTCAACAGGAAACCTGTCTGCAGCTGTCCCCTGCGATTCCAGCCTGTCTCTGATACTGCCAAGGATGGCTGTGCCCGTACTATATCGAATTGCCTCACAGATGTCGACTGTGGTGGAGCACTGTGCTACAATGGACAGTGTCGCATTGCCTGCAGAAACAGCCAGGATTGCTCCGATGGCGAGAGCTGTCTGAAGAACGTCTGCGTGGTGGCCTGCCTGGATCACAGTCAGTGCGCCAGTGGACTGGCTTGTGTTGAGGGTCATTGCACCATAGGCTGTCGCAGCAACAAGGATTGCAAGCAGGATCAGTCCTGCATAGAGAACAAGTGTCTGAATCCGTGCCAGTCTGCCAATAGCTGTGGTCCAAATGCGTTATGCAGCATTGCCCAACATCGGAGTCAGTGTAGCTGTCCTGAAGGATTCGAGGGAAACCCCACTCCGGAACAGGGATGCGTGAGAGTGCCAGCCCCCTGCTTGGCCAGCAACCAGTGCCCCAATGGGCACATGTGCATTGGTAACCAGTGTAACCTTCCCTGTACTAAGACTTCATCTTGTGCAGTTGGAGAACGTTGCTATCAACAGGTTTGCCGCAAGGTTTGCTACACCAGCAACAACTGTTTGGCCGGAGAGATATGTAACTCGGACAGGACTTGTCAACCAGGATGTGATTCTGATGCAGATTGTCCACCCACCGAACTGTGCCTGAATGGAAAATGTAAGTGTGCCACCGGATTTATAGGCACTCCCTTCGGATGCTCAGATATTGATGAGTGCACGGAACAGCCCTGCCATGCTAGTGCTCGATGTGAGAACCTCCCTGGATCCTATCGGTGTGTTTGCCCCGAAGGAACTGTTGGCGATGGATACGCCCAGCAGGGTTGCTCACAACCCAGGCAATGTCATAAACCAGACGATTGCGCCAATAATCTGGCCTGTATCCATGGAAAGTGCACGGATCCGTGCCTACATACAGTTTGTGGAATCAATGCCAACTGCCAATCGGAAGGACATGAAGCTCTATGTACCTGCCCAGCTGGATTTTTGGGTGATCCTAACGACACTGGAGTCGGTTGCTTCAAGGTGGAATGTATCGACCATGTTGACTGCGCTGGAGATCGTGCCTGCGATGCCGAAACCAATCGATGCATTAAACCTTGCGATCTGACAAGTTGTGGAAAGGGTAACTGCCAAGTAAAGGATCACAAGGCGGTTTGTGCCTGCTACGAAGGTTATCAGTTGGTTAACGGAGTGTGTGAGGACATCAACGAGTGCCTGTCGCAACCATGCCACAGCACTGCCTTCTGTAATAATCTTCCAGGAAGCTACAATTGTCAGTGCCCTGAGGGATTAATTGGAGATCCCCTGCAGGTCGGATGTCGGGATCCAAATGAATGCCTGAGTGATGCGGATTGTCCTGCCTCAGCCAGTTGCCAGAACTCACGATGCCGTAGTCCTTGCGAACGTCAAAATGCATGTGGATTGAATGCCAACTGCCAGGCTCAGGCCCACCAAGCTGTTTGCACATGTCCATTGAATTCTCGCGGAGATCCCACCATCGAGTGTGTGCACATTGAGTGCTCGGACAATGATGACTGCTCCGGGGAGAAGGCCTGTTTGGACTCAAAGTGTATCGATCCCTGCTCCCTGCCCAATGCTTGTGGAGCTCAGGCTCGTTGCTCGGTACAGAACCATATTGGAGTCTGTTCATGCGAAGCTGGAAGTACGGGAGATGCCAAATTGGGATGCGTGCAGCTGCAATATTGCCAACAGGATGGACAATGTGCCCAGGGAAGTATCTGCTCCCACGGAATTTGCAGTCCTCTGTGCAGCACCAACCGCGATTGCATTTCGGAACAACTGTGTTTGCAGGGCGTCTGCCAGGGAACCTGTAAATCGAACACGACTTGCCCTCAGTTCCAGTTCTGTTTGAATAACATTTGCACGAAGGAGCTGGAATGTCGATCGGACAGTGAATGTGGAGAAGATGAGACATGTTTGAGTGATGCCTATGGACGCGCGAAATGTGAGTCTGTATGTTTAGGACGCGCCGCTTGTGGCAGGAATGCCGAATGCGTGGCTCGTTCTCATGCTCCAGATTGTCTGTGCAAAGAAGGATTCTTCGGGGATGCCAAGTCCGGATGCAGAAAAATCGAGTGTACCACTGATGATGATTGCTCCAATGACAAGAGCTGCGATAACCATATGTGCAAGATTGCCTGCCTTATTGGACAGCCGTGCGGAGACAATGCTCTCTGCACAACGGAACACCATCAGCAGGTGTGTCACTGTCAACCAGGATTCTCGGGAGATCCTCGGGTGCGTTGCGATGTCATAGACTTTTGCCGTGATGCTCCGTGCGGACCCGGAGCCCGCTGTAGGAACGCGAGGGGGTCGTACAAATGCACCTGTCCCCCGGGACTCGTTGGTGATCCGTACAACGAGGGCTGTCGCAGCTCCGTTGAGTGTGAGACCAACGAGGACTGTCCCCCGCATGCTGCATGCACCAAAACCAATGGGGTGGCCAAGTGCCGCGATGTCTGTGCCCAGCTGCAGTGTGGCCCCAATGCGGAATGTGTTCCGAAGGGTCATGTGGCGCAGTGTGCATGTCGCAGCGGCTATGATGGCCAACCCGCCGACCGGGTGGCCGGATGTAAGCCGTTGCCCGTTCCTTGTCAGGTCACCGGCGACTGTCCGACCAACACTTACTGCTCGGATAGCGTCTGCAAACGTAAGTACTAACACCCACCCAGCACTGGGCTTTAACTGACTACCAGACAACGTAATAATTGGCTAATCTACCTAGTAACCACCTTTTTAGTACTACTTACTTACTTAAAAACTAGCACTGATTTACATACCGGATATAATGTGACACTAAACAGTAGATTACCCTTGACCAATATATAACTTTTTAGGTCTTGAAACCGGAACGCCGGTGCAGTCATTTATTTGTTTTTACGCGTTCTCAATTCTTTTAAGTTTAACATAAACTTCAATGTTGTTTTCCATGTTTAAAGTTCATTAAAATTTAAATATATGCGAAAAAGAAGAAAATAAATATTACTTTCAAAGCTTATTAAAAATTAACGGACTTAATCCTTACCAAGCATAATATTATTCCATATAAAGGAACCTTCAACACTACCTTGGACTGGCTAAGAGTCTACGAACTAAACCAAATGCTATTATATAACTTAGATTAACTGCAAACTAAAATTAAAACACAAGTTACACACATGACAAAATGCCACGAACAAATCAAGACCGAAACGCCAACCGTGATGTGTTATAATTCCGTTAAAGGATCCAAACTAACTCTAAAATCTTCTTCCAAACAGCTGCCTGTGTTCTGGACACCGAATGTGGAGCATCTGAGGTGTGTCAAGGTGGCCAATGCTTCAACCCCTGCCTGCAGCCTCAGGCTTGTGGACAGAATGCCGAGTGCGTGATACAAAATCACCTGAAACAGTGCCATTGCCCAGAGGGCTTCACCGGCGACTCTGCAAAGGAGTGCGTGCGTGTTCCGGTGGCCTGCGATGGCGAATGTGCTCCTGGATACACCTGCCGAGACTCCATGTGTCTGCCTGTGTGTCACAACGATCTGGAGTGCGCCTCCAACGAAAAGTGCTTGAAGGGTAACTGCATGTGTAAGTAATCTAGCCGATGAAAAATGGTTTTGATTTAATACCATCATAACCCTTTAAAAGATGAATCTTTGCTAGTCTCAAACTATATCAGAAAGTCAAAATAAAAAAAATCTTTTTTCTTTAGTAACCTGTCGAGTGGACAACGATTGCTTCCTGGGTCACGTTTGCCTGCACAACAAGTGCGTTTACGGCTGCCATGTGGACGATGACTGCAGTGCCTCTGAGTCCTGCCGCAATGATAAGTGCGTAAATCCCTGTCTGGAGAATCCCTGTGGTCCCAATGCCGCCTGTTCGGTTTCGAACCACCGGGCCAGCTGCAGCTGTCTGGAGAGCATGGTACCCAATCCCACGCCCCAGGTGGGCTGCGTCCGTTCTCCCCCCTTGGAGTGCCGCGAGAATCGCGACTGTGGAAATGGATTAGCCTGCTTCGAGTCGGTTTGTCGACCTCTTTGCGCCGATGATGCCGGCTGTTTGACCAACGAGCGTTGCCAGCAGGGAGTTTGCAAGCCGCTCTGCCGCCACGACAATGAATGCGGTCATGGAGAGCTATGTTTGGGCCTGAATTGCGTGCCTGGCTGCCGTTCCGATCATGGTTGTCCCCAAGACTTGTCCTGCGTGAGTCAGCAGTGCGTGGATCCATGTGCTGATCCCACTGCCTGCGGCACTAATGCCCACTGCCAAACAATCGATCATAGGAAACAATGCTTATGCCCGGAGGGTCTGGATGGCAATCCCAATATTGCATGCAAGGTGCCTCGCATTGCTTGTGGCAGGAACGAGGATTGTCAGTCGAATCAGCTCTGCTACGCAGGAAGCTGCCAAGGAAAATGCAGGAACGATCAGAACTGCCTGGCAGACGAGCGTTGCATGCGTGGAACTTGCAGAACTGTATGCAACACTGATGAGGCTTGTGCTCAGGGACAAATTTGCGAGAATCGCATGTGCCAGACTGGATGCCGTACGGATTTAAGTTGTGCCACCGATGAAGCCTGCGTGAACAAGAAGTGCCAGAATCCATGCCGAAACCCGGGTCAATGTGGCCAGTGTGCCGACTGTTTGGTGGTCAACCACGGTGTCCAGTGTCAGTGTCCCGCCGCCTTTATGGGAGACGGTCTGACTGGCTGTCAACTTCCGCCTGAGCGCTGCCATCCCGGCTGCGAATGCGATGAGAATGGAGCCTACTGCGCCAGCAAATGCTCGAGAACCGAGGACTGCGCCTGCGGACAACAGTGTGCCCGAGGAAAGTGCCGGAATAAGTGCGGACCCAAGCGCCAGTGTACGGTGGGTCAACTTTGTGAGCGAGGAGCTTGCATTGCTGGATGCAAATCAAACGGTGATTGTGCCGCCGACCAAAGTTGTGTCAATGGAAAGTGTACAGATCCTTGTGCAAGTGACAAGGCCTGCGGGAGAAATGCTTTGTGCACCGTTTCGGAACACAGGATGCTCTGTTACTGCCCTGATGGATACGAGGGCGAGCCCAGTAAGGAGTGCGTGCAATTCGAGTGCCGTGTGGATACCGATTGCGAAAGTAACAAGCGCTGCGACCAAGGAAAGTGTCGTAATCCTTGTCTGGAGTATGGAGCCTGTGGTACCAATGCCCAGTGTAGGGTGGTAGGACGTAAGGCCCAGTGCTCTTGTCCACCGGACTTCTTCGGTAATCCGATGAGTGAATGCCGACCGTTGGAAGGAGGATGCTCAAGCAAACCCTGTGGCGAGAACTCCAAGTGCACTGAGGTTCCTGGAGGCTATGAGTGCGCCTGCATGGATGGCTGTATTGGAGATGCACATCAGGGATGTCTGTGCGGTGGACCGTTGGTGAATGCCTGTCAGGATCACCCTTGTGGTTTGAACGCCGCCTGTCATGTTTTGGAGAACGATCAAGCCGAATGCTACTGCCCGGAGGACTTTCCCAATGGTGATGCATATGTGCAGTGTAAGTGAAGATGAATCTAATATGATATTTGGCCAGAGTTTTATTGTTATTTCGTTATAAAGGTTATTTGACTCCACCGAAGCCAGATTGTCGTACCCAAGGATGCGATGTGGGTGACTGTGTGCGCCAGGGCTATGAATATGTCTGCCAGCAGGGTAAGTACCCAGTTTATGTTACTATTCCAAGTGTTTTAGACCATACCGTACCGTTATTGCTAATCATGTTAACCAGCGTTCTTACAAGTTATCGTTATTATAATCAGTAAGCGTTATATCGTTGAAGTTTTACCCTTACCAATATAACTGGAAGTTTGTTAGTAACTGATTTTAATCGATTTTATCGTTATAATTTTCTTGGTTTAACTAAATAGTTTTGAGTTGTTTAAACACAAAAACTTAAACCAGCTAATTAGCTAATTACACTAATTTAACGGCCCTCGCGGCTGCTTAGAACATGTACCCGAAACAAATTTGATTTCAGTGTAGTGTGTGTGTGTTTTAAAATAAAAAAGCTAATATATTTTTATTTTTTTCTTAACAACTTATACACATGTGCGAAGTTCCAGGTATTAGTCTAATATCGATATTCCCCGCACGTACAAAAAAACACGCTAAGAAACCAAAAAGCCACCTACACAACCCATACCCAATGGGCAACTGATTTGTTTGCTTTAAGCAACAGTCATGCCAATGAATATAATTCAGTGCACAGTTTTTATTATGCAATTTTGTTTTTTTTAGTTTTTATTTGAGTTTTTCTAGTTTCTAAGCACCTTATTTTACAATACACCATCAACGCATATGGATATTCGTGGAATGTTGCTGTCGCTATCGCGGTTACCCAATCTGTGCCTATAATTCATTTTTGAAACACAACAGATTAAATATGCAACAAAAACTAAGTTTAGTCATAAGCAAATTTAAACTACCTTACTAAAAAATACATTCACAATCAGTGCATTCCTTAAAAAAAGATTTGATTTTAGTCCCATAAAGCTTGAGGCTTGGCCTTCTCATTTCATTTGGCTTTCATAAAGCTCAATTATCATTGAATACCTTCCTTTAGTTACCATACAATTTGGCTTTGAATAACCATCTGTTTTGACGCTAAACTATGCGGCATCCATTACAACTTGGAAACAGTTAACGCACAGATCAGTTAACAAGTTGGTTCATCCCTATTTAACATTTAGTCTAACGACAAACGCCGCGATAGCGATATGTAGTCAGTGAAATTAGTAGCGAAAAATAAAACAACTGGGTAAAGTGCTTAGAAAGCACAAAATTTAGAACTAAACAATTATTAAAAAAGACAAAAAAAACATATAATGCCACGCTTATCATATAGACAACAATCCTCAACACATCCTTGATACTGAAAACAAAAATGATCGAAATCCCAACCCGATAAATCCCATCCCTCCTCTCCGATTCCGCTCTGTCCACCCCCTTGAATTGTTATTTTCCCTATCGCTCTGTCGTATCCTTTTGCTAATAATACCCTTTTGTTACATTTCTTGAATGAACAAAGTCTCAGATTGGGAACTGTGGACGGGACAATTCTCACACATAGTTCACATATGCTTGAAAACGATTCAAAACCAATTGAGGAACATAGTTATCAAGTTAAGATCCACCATTACAACTGTGTACAGAACGATTACCAAAAAACAAAAGCAACATCAACAGCTAATACTACTTTTCAATGCATCCTTAAAGCAAGTCTACTGTATAACCGAAATAAAACCAACCGTTTATTATGTACAAAGCTCCCTTTAAAATACGTATTAAGAAAGCTCCTGTACCTATCTACCCCTCTCTACATAGATCGTCTATTGGTTAAAATCTATATAAACAAAAAACCCGAATTGGAATAAATTGTAACTAAATTTAACTAACATTTCAATTATATTTTGGTACATTTGATTAGTGAATAAGTTGTATATATACAGAAAATTGTACATATTTGTGCATATATTCGTAAAGTGACCGATCAAACTAACCACACAAAAAAACAAAACAATCTGTAAATATAAACCAAATTTGAATACTGTGAATTATGAATAACCCGGATGAATCAAACTAGCCACGTATATTCCTAACGAACTTTTCAAAATTGTATTTACCCATCGATTTCCAACTACTATTTCTTCTACAACATTCCTACTAAAGCCTCTTTCTACAAAGCTAAACTCTCTATTGCCAGACTTGTACCTACACTACTTCCTCCACTTCCAATAGATATTTCTAAATCTCTCTAATGAATCACTTACTCACAAAACCAATCGCCAATAACGTGTCTCTCGTGAGGGCAGAGCGCATGTGTTGGATGTCGTGTAATTTTTGCCATCATTCAAACTGATCAAACAATAAACCAACAGAAATATATATTTGCTCGAATTCGCATTAATACCGAGATAATTCATAGCTCAACTAAGCCTGCCTTTAGTACAGCATCAAATTAATTGGGCAAATTGGGGAAAGTGCCAGGCTCTCCTGCTCTATGCTCGCTCGTTAAAATGGTATATCATCAAGGGTTGTAACTATGCTCACTTGTTCTCACACTGCCACCCCCACTTGCTCACTTGTACGCTGATCGATAATCTATAGAACTCATACCAAAATACCAATGACAAAAACCCAAAGCAGCCAACTTTATTGATAAGCATTATTTTGGCCTGCTATAGAAACAAACAACCCTAGTTATTGTGAGATGTTCCCTTCACAGTTCTACAATTTGATTAAGACAAACCAATAAGTAATATACTTTTGCTCTAGTTTTGCTGCCTAAACTAATTGCACCAATTGACTGAAGTTGGTCAATTTAATGAAACTGCTTAAATTTTTAATTTCTTCAGTTTTATTTTCGTTTACGTTACTTTATGATTTCTGAACGCACCGTTTCTAATCCTAACTCGTTAAAGATCCCCGCAAAATTATTCTTTTACTATAACAAACCCAATGCACAAAACCCCCAAAAACCCCAAAAATCGAGTCCACAACAATCCCACTGACACTTAATTGATCGCCGAAACCGACACACAACCCCTCACCCAAACACCAAAAAATAAACACACAACAAAAAACATTCAAGCAAAAAGGCCCCAATCGAAAACAAACCAAAAAAAAAACACTGGAATATAATTTTTTATATATTTTGTCATTTAAGTTTTCTCCTTTTGTTTTTAGAAACGTTTAGCTTATAAGTCTTATCCGAGTCACCACCGATCCCTCTTGTTTCCAAAACTATGTGTTTACACTGTCCAATGCAAAACCCCAGTCAGCCCTAAATCTGAATCTTCCACCAGACTATCGTCTATCAAGCGCAAGCCCCAACTTTGATTCGACAATTTCAATGTCGCACTATCGTTTCTAAGTGTTTCCATACCCCAAGAAAGATAAATCTATTTAGTAGCGTACCATACCGTTTATGCCACCGAATAGTTGAATGCACCCACCAACGATTAACATTTAAACAACCAAACAACTCCTGTCTATCTCTCTCTCGTTCTTCCCTGCCATGGATTTAATGTTATAGACACCGAACAATGCTACTCAGATACGGATTGTCCCAGTGAAAAGTCATGCCTCCAAGGACACTGCAGCGATCCTTGTACAATGCGTGGCGTGTGTGGTGTGAATGCGCTCTGCAAAACCGTACTGCATCGTCCGCAATGCTCTTGCCCCAGCTGCCACATAGGTCGGCCGGAGGTGGAGTGCAAGCCCGATCCCAAGTGCCTACCCGAAGAAGCTGATCCGAAGACCAATGAGCAGATCCCATGCTCCAGAGACTCCGAATGTCCGGAGACATTGCAGTGTGGCCAATACGGTCAATGCACAGATCCGTGCAACAATCCGCTCTTCATATGCGAGAGCAACAAGAAGTGCGAGACGCGACGCCACCAGCCGGTTTGTATCTGCAAGTCGGGCTTCATAGTGAATGAGTACGGCGAACTAACATGTGCCCCAGATAAGCGTGAGTGCTATCGCGATGATGACTGCGCCTCGAACATGGCCTGTTCCGATGGCAAGTGCCGGAATCCATGCATCGTACCTATAGGCCGAGCTGCGATCTGTCCGGAAAACAAATCCTGTGAGGTACAGAACCACAAACCCGTTTGCATTTGCATGCGCGACTGCCAGCCATCGATATCCATTTGCCTGCGTGACGCCGGATGTCCGGCCAGTCAGGCATGCCGGAAGCTTAAGTGCGTCGATCCGTGCGAGTTTGCCACGTGCGCACCCAACTCGCCATGCATTGTCGAAGATCATAAGCCGATATGTAAATTCTGCCCAGCTGGATTTATAGCCGATGCCAAGAATGGATGTCAAAAAGGTAAAGCACCAAAAAGTAATCTCTATCACTCAGCTCTCTGTCGAGTGAAAGTGCCTTAAGTTTCTGTCTCGAATATCTCCGTTTCCTGCTCTCTCTCTCTCTCACACACGCTCTCACCATTTGCTAGTTCTGTCTTATTGTCTGTCCCCTCACAAAAAAACCTAAAAAACAGCGATAAAGGCCACAAACAAATATGCGTAATGAAATATATTAACAAGAGTCATCTACATCTATTGAATGTTATTGGGCCTTGTTAATTTGTTGCATCGCAATGTTTGTGCAAATGTACATAGGTCTGAGAAATTAACTGCCTAGAGCCGTACCAAGCTTTTGCCTATTGATACGGTCAATTTACCTACCCAAAGCTTAGTTACAAGCCAAAAGTCCAAGTCAAGTGACTTTATAACCCCATGGTCCAACGCTTTACGCCACTAGCACAACGACTAGGCTGAAGCACTTAAAATAAAGGAGTTATCCAAGCATTGATCTGAGGATCATTTCCAAACCAAACAAAAATACCAAATAACACAAATACAAGAAAACTCTTCTGAACATTCACACACGCTCATGCTCACAGTGATAATTATTTAACTTATTAAACAAAAGCCTCCTGAAAACTTGTACTATGAAATCTTAACCTACGAATCTAAAAAAATGGTAATACTAATGGTAAACCTAAACCAATCCAACACCAATATGTAGCTAACTAATAGTAAAGACGTTCGTTTCTAATTTGAAATTGATTAACCGTAAAATAGTATTTAAAGCTTCCGATATTTGTTTACATTTGCAGTCTGAAGTATGCAAGAGAGTTAGATCAAAATCTCCAACAGTATTTCCTTAGGTACGCCCCTCTGTATATATAGTGCACCTTCCTTGTTGTTGTAACTCTACACTTTCTATCCTATATTTGGTATATATTTGTAAATATTTTAACGTATTTTTTTAAATTTTACACTTTTATTTTGAAATATGTACAAAATACTCCACTCGAAAATCCTAAAATTATGTAAAAAAACTCCCCAAACCTGAAAATTTGAAGCAGCTAAACCAGGTGGCAATTGTACCTCAAACGAAGATTGCAGTGAAGCGCATCAATGTGGATCGTCGGGTCAATGTATCGATTCCTGTCAGACATTCTGTGCAGACGCTGTAAAGTGCGTTGCATCAGCTCATAGGGTTATCAAATGTATTTGCCCAGTCGCCTTGGCGAATATGACTATGAACTCAGACTGCATTCCAACAGACAGAACAGTCGAGACAACAGCTATTGATGAAACCACTCGTCATGTAGGGTCAACAGAAAGTTC